TGAATTACGCAATACCCGATATGTACAAATGTAAGGGAGAACCCGGGGAAGTTGATGTGTATTGTGTCATCGGAGCAGCCATTGCGTGCATATACATGTCGGCTAATAATAATGGTGAACCACGCGGTATGTTTTATAAACTCGCAAGGACACATTATTCACATCAGTTTAATAAGATGTGGGTAAATGCATGATCAGCTACAGCGATGGTTAAATCTGAAAATATTTCCAGTTGCGAAGAATTTATTTGTCTATAAAAATTCCGCTGTTTGCGCTAGAAAAAAAGGGCAATTAATCATTAAAATTTTTATTCCCTCAATTTCCATTGAATTTTCAAATCTGTTTTTTTTTTTGTATTTTTCAATTAATATTTCAATTTTATGTTTAATTACATTTGAATAAATTGATCATTAACGTAATGATCATTTTAATGACTATTTATTAATTAATAAGTCAGCAATTTAGCAGGAGTATTTTTTCTTTAGTGATACTGTAAATGATAAAAATCGAGAATTATAAAGTTCAGTTGTAAAGTCTAAAATTTAACGAGGAAAAATCAATTGAATTATTAATTAACAATTCAATCAATTTTTCCTCGTACAATTCTCGACTTGTGACTTTGTAAGAGTAAAAAAAAATTGTGATCAATCTTTTATAATCATTACACGATTTCTCAACATCAGATCAATAATTACATTGAATTAAATTAATTATTAACGCGATGATCATTTTAATGACTATTTATTAATCATTAATTTGAGTAATTTAGCAGTATTTTCGGTTCAGAAATACTAGAAATTTTGATGAGTACTTTCAGATTAAAATGGGGGAATCAGACATTTCGTGTTTCTCCATGGTGAATTTATTTTTTCATTGAAGGTATAATTACGTATGACTTAAGACACGTTACTATCATACTCTTCTCTTCATGATGCACGTTTATACTGTCACTACTCTCATTATCCTGAAACAACACGTGTGAAAATACCGATACATGAATGTTTTTTCATTCCCTAGTACTCACGAAGGCGTGGGATCAATTTCACATAGATTTATAAATAATTCTACCGAGAATGAGAGGCACAGGAGTAAAAGTATAATGCACACGATGAGAATAGGTGTTGTGGCTGCGAAACGTCAGCTTTTCTGGTGCTTCACGAGGTCATTTCGCTGGTAATTAAATTAAAGTGATCGTTAGCTGTTGACTGTTTTGCCAGTCAAAATATCATTTTTTTTTTTTCTATTTAAAACTACAGCGGCGACCTTGCTCAGCAAAAAAAAAAATTGGTCTCAAATTAAGATACAACGAGACAAAGACACAAAGATGTCAATTAAAACTTCACCACAAGTAGTAATTAGGGTATTAGGGTATTTTGGTCTTTTTTTTGTGGGAAAAGTTTTTTATTCGTTTTTATTTTTATTTATTGTGAGAGGCAATTTGCAATGTTATTTATTGGTGTTGTTAGCATTGCCTGTCATTTTGTTTACAATTTAAAATTCTTAATTGTCCGGGTTTATTGTCATTATCGTCATATGATATCTCCGGCCTCTTTATGCGTTTAGTTCTGTTTCTTTTCCGGTGAAGATGGCGTCTACCCATGAAGAACCATTTCCTGGCGAACTTCCAATGTAAACGAAATCTCATTGGCTGCTGATAGATTCTTCACTTCCTGTATATCTTTTCAATTTGAGGTCTTAATAATATATGTCGTTCCGAATTTAGAGAGTTCGATTTTCGGGCGGATTTTGGCAATTATCGAGGGCTTAATCTCGAGGAAAACTTGTTATAAACTTGTTATAAACATGTTTCGATTATCAAGGTGTCATTTGGTGGGACAGCATTCCAAAAATAATGGACTTTCAGTTCCGTCATTGGGAGAAATACCACTTTTCCATTTTATGGGAATTCCTCGATAAAAAGAATGTATGAGAAGCAAGGGATTTTTTTTTTCAACAGGCATTCACAGAACACCCACAAAAATAGAAATTCGAGAATTATTTTCATAGATTCTGGGATCTGTCAGATCTGTGATTTAAAACTTCCGGATAAAATTGTACATCGAGAAAGTTTAACGGTCGATAATGATATTGTGAATATTCATGTTTTAATTATTAATAAATCACTTGTATAAAATTCAGACACTTACGTCCCCCTCTTCTAATCCAAGACGACAATTAAACTATTAAACCTTTTTTATCAACATATCTAGTTAATTCTGATCAATTTCACTGAGATTATAATATGTAAATATATTACATACATGTAAAAATTGCAATACATGGATAAAATCGTGCATAATTTTCTGTCCTGATTATTATCACTCAATTAATTCTGTTGGAAATTTTTGGGATAATTCAAATATCTCAAAAAATGCTTAACCGATCGATTTGAAGTTCCACCCCGATATTCCCCCAAATAATATCCATTATCTCCCAAAACGTCATATTTTTAGCTTGAATTTTATTCCTTCTATAAATTATTTTTACTCAAAAAATCTGCAACACAAATTTAATTGAAACTGCGTATTTTTTCTTTCATCTTTTAAAGCTCTCCATAATTGTCAAGCAAAAATATAAAATGAAAAAACAGGTCGATTGCATTAAAAATAAAAATAAATTCCGGTAAAGAGGTGCAGGTACTTGTACTTATTCTTGTCTGGGCAAGCCTGAATTATGACTGATTATTAATGAAAGTTGATTGAAAAAAAAGTTTGGGAGGAGTATATAATGTGAGGTTGAGTGATCATTGAGGCAGAAGTCCTATAAAAATTCTCGGTATCCCATTTCATTGGACGGGTTGTGTCCCTGGAGGAAGGAAGCCTCAAGAACCGCACCCTGTACACATTTTGAGCTGTTGTATGCGCCAACGAGCTCAGACCATCAACGGTCAACCCGTTTGTCTGACTACTTTCTGGCTCCCCTCACTTCATTGCGCCTGTACTGGCCCAGTACTCGGCCTACACTCGATTATAGTCGATGCTATCCGGACAGTTACCGAGCCGTAACAGCATTTGGGTCATGTGTACGTTCATTGAACCGTACTTAACTCGCTATATACGCTTCAACTATATCGTGACTAATTTAAACACACGGAAAATCTCCACGGTGACACGTTCGCCGCTCATTATCGCTCCATCGTCATTACTGAAATTAAAAACTAAGCCCACCGTAATATCAATATTTATGACACATTTACTACCGCAATTAGAACGCCCGGCAATGCTAGTCTCTTTTTATTGCTGGGAAAATGTCGCAGGGATTCGGAGGAAAGGACTTAAAATAAAATAAAAACTTATATAAAAAAATATCCAAAATTGTTGGTAATATTATACGAAAATGAAAATATTCGCTATTTTATCGCCAAAGAATCGGACAATCATTTAGACCCAGACGGAGTGGAATTACGAAATATCGATTACGTAGAAAGTTATTTATTTCAGTTCTATTGTTAGTTTGATTTATATACATCAAGGTATTTTCTAACTGCGTTGGATAAAGATTAATCCGGAGATTATACAAAGTTTATAATTAATACAGTGAAGTTTATTAATCCTGATAATTAATCCATGAAGTACAAGTTGATAATTTCCAAAATTTCCAATAGATATTTAGTCGAATTGTTATTTACAGGAAATGATTATAAAAATTGGTAGTATTTATGCCGTATTTATTACAGCGATTCAAAGTCCTGCTGGTTAAATAAAATCATAAAATCATATTTATGCAGTTGCTGGTGAGTTACATTCTATGGAAATTGAGAGACTATCCGACTTATGTGAAATGTGATAATTCTTGAGATCAAACTTCAAGTACGTCATTCTGCCTGATGATATTACTGCGTCGCATCGTATTCATATACAATTTCGGTGTCATCAGCCATTAGTATCCCCAAAAGCATGATTGCATCTTTATTTTAAGCCGTGATGTCACCGATTCATTATTAAGTGCGAAGAAATTCTAATTCGATAATTAAATCATGCTAACATCAAATTAAAGGACTACACCAAAGTCCGAGACTAATTCCAATGAAACGACAATAATATTATATACAGCGTTAGTACATATATACATGTCTGATATAAACACATTTATTTGTTAACAAATTAAGCAAATTAATGCAATGATGATAATTGCAAGAGCAAATTGATAAAAATTATGGAGATTAAGAAATTAAAATGTCTGTAATCATTAAAACGTAATTAACTAATTAAGATTAATTAAATATTTGCGAATCTTCGATATCTCTACAACTACTGTTCCGTTCTGACGAATCACATTTTTTAAAAATAATCGTAAAAATATTTTAAATTAACTAAAAACAATAATCAAAAATCGTTTTACTGATCTCCAGTTATCGATAAATTCCCACCAGTTTCATAATTGCGTCGGCAGTCGTATTCCTTCCGTTTTTTTTTAATCTTTTGCGCAACAGAAAATAATCGTATTTACCTAGAATCTAATCATTAATAACCCAACCCACCGTAGAATATAGCGTTCCCATAATGACTTCTTGTGCCGAGACGTCTTTATCGTAGAGGCACTGAGTGGACATGATCACGGTCTTCCTATTTTTAGACGTCATTCGCCGAATACTTCTCCGGTGATAGAAACCACTGATGACTGATATTGCCACCGTCTCGTTGTTTTTTTTTTGTTATCAACGATTAAAGTTGTTATTTCAACGAACCACCTGCGGAATTCCAGTATTACTTTATAAAATCCAGCATTACTTTACGCAGGCGCACAGTTCATTCATTGCAAGACCTAATTTATCAGAAGTGAAAGTGAAAATATCGCGAGTCCGATGATTGTGCTTTCCACATCGTGAGTTTTAATGATATCGTCGGATCGTTTGTTCCTCAAATCATTAAACATTTGTTTTGCAAACAAGAAGTAACTTCCGGCCTTCAACTGTGTTTAAAAAAAAGCTACTGGACTTTATGTAAGACCTTTCAATAGAGTTCTAATAAAACTCGAATAGAGTTCTTATAAAGTTATAATTTATTATTATTTTTTCCTTGAAAATTTACAAAATTCTGTTAAGCTCGTTCACGCATATCCTCCAGGAGTTTCCAAGGCTACGCTTAATCAATATGATGCCATTCTCAGTTCCCTTTTGTTATGACCCGCGTTATTTTCTTCATCCCTCGTGATGCCGACGAACAGTCCGAATTGGCCGTCAAGTTGGTCTCCGCCTTCGAAAATCACATCGAGTCTTGTTTTGATTGAATTAACAACGGACAATCAGGTCGAGTTGGAGTGCACAAGCAATGAATTCGTCTTCCTGGAGTACCCCTGGGCGTATGTAGCACGGGCGATTCTCCTAAAAATCTCCCAGGATGCCACGTCCACCCTTGAAACATACAAATCACAGATTGAAGCTTATAAACCTGAGATGATGCTGCTGGGATACGCTTCGAAGGAGCTCTGCTCCACGCACTACGTCCTCTGCCTGACGGAAGAGGTGCGAGACGCGATGGTGAGCCGAAACCGTCAGATAACCCGAAGTATCCACGACAGGGTCACCAGGATGCTGAGAAAAACACCACTGGGAGTCATTCCCAGCAGTCCTCTAGCACCAGTGGATGATACGGTCCTCAAAACGAGAAGATCCCTCTTCGAGGTAGAAATCAGCCGCAAGTCCTCACCACCAGGACCCCGTGACCTGTCCGACAGGAGCAGCGAAGCCACGAGAGACGGTTACCTAGACATTCTTCTGCCCCCAACCTCGCAATTCTCAAACGTCCGGATGAAACTTGTCACCAAATCCCTGCAGACGAATCTCCAACCAACCCCTAGGAGTGTTCAAACGTACATTGGCTACCCGAAGACCAAGTGGACTCAATACGACAACAGACCAGCTGTTGAGAGTCAACAACCCCACCCTGAGAAAACGACAGAAGAAAGTAGTCCAGCAGGTCACTCTGAGGCAGTCACCCTGAGCGACGAGAAGCCCGTTCAAATGGAAAGTCTAATTTCCGTGAATGAGAGCCTCGTCAGGCAGACAGAGTCCCTGAGGAACTTCATCGAGGCAAATCTCTCAGTTGTCACAGACTGCATTCGCTACAACTCGGAGATAAATATGCACTCCGACGACATCGAGAACCTAGCCAAATGCGCTATCCCGGAAGCGTCAACAGTGATTGATTACAATCTTGGTGAGGTGATCTCCCTCGTGGATCTCGGCGCCACCAAGGGCACGGTCATTTCCGATGTAGCTTGGCACCCGAGTCGTGTAGAATATGTCGCTATATGTTACATCGAAGCTGGCAGGTGTCTTGATTTCTCCGATCACTTGCCCAATCACATTTCCACAGCAGCAGCAGCTCCTGGGAATGACGCGAGTGTTCTCCTATGGTCGATTGACGAACCCCTGAAACCCAAGCTGTGGCTGGTGGACTACAAGGAGATCCGGGTAATGTCTTTCTGTCCTTCGAAGGATTCCGTGCTTGTGGGAGGAACGAAGACCGGTCAAATTGTGATTTGGGATTTGGAGAAGAGTTTCGAGGCCATCGATTCTGGTGAAGAACTGAGTGATAACGACTGCCGAAGACTGCAGGCGTGTGCCTCGTCGGATCCCGGGGAATCTCATCTTCTACAGATTCGGGCAATCCACTGGCTGCCGACCTCCTGTCGGCTGGAGCCTACGGGGAAGTTCAGTAAGATTCCTGACAACATGAGTATGCAGTTTATGACAGCTTCTGAGGACGGCACTGTTGCCTTTTGGGATCTACTCTGGCAGCCGAACATGACAGCAGTTGCCAAAAATCTTCTCAATATCGTCGCTGCCAAGATGTCATTGACCGAGGGCCTGGAGAGGCTGGATAACGTATTTCGACCGCACTATCGGCTGAATGTTGTTGCATCTAAGGAGACATCCACCCTGACAGTTCTGGATATCTGTCCGGCATCGGGTGAAGCATATGATGAGATTCAGACCGACGCCATTGATCCTGACGCTAATGAATCGGCGCGGAGACTCTGGGCTAGCACCACCCAGGGGGAGCTCTTACTGTGCACCTGGCGTGGACAGGAATTCGATGAGATTTGTCACGAGAATGTGGAGATCACTGGCCATTCTGCTCTCATTCATGACGGTCCTATTGTCAAAATCGTTCGATCTCATCACGTAAGTGACATCCTGCTGACGATCGGCGGGAGTGTATTTGCCCTGTGGAAGGACGACTTTCTGAAAAAACCGCTTCTTTGGAGGAAAGGCAATTGTCTGTACACCAGCTGCTGCTGGTGCCACAGACCCGGTGTCTTCTGCGTAGCTAGGAAAGACGGAGACCTTGAAACGTGGGACATATGCCGGAAGACTCGAGAACCGGTTCACGTGCAGACTATTTCTGGCAAGTTGATAACGGGATTGCACAGGCGGTTTGATGGGTTCGTCGGAGTTTGCGATTACAGTGGGGCTTTCAGGGTGTTTAAGCAAGGAGGAGGGCCGGAGTTTGAGAGGATTGAGTGGCTGAGGCAGTTTGTCGATCGCGAGGTGGAGAGGAATCGGGAGTTTTGCGTCTGGCAGGAGGAATATCTTGAGAGCAATGAAGTAGCAGTTGGAAGGAAGGAGGCCAGGGCTGCAGAGGAGGTGAGACGACGGCACGAAGAGGCCAGGGAGAAGTTCCTGAGGGAACAGGAGGAGGTAATCAGGATGAAGGCTGAACGACGAGCCCTCAAGATACCCAAATCCAAGGAGACTATTCTCAGAATGGAGAATATTGAACGGATGAAGATCGTTTTGCTGGGGAAGAAGGGCTTTGACCCCCGGAAACTTGAGGAGGCGAGATCGCCGATGGTTCAGCAACAGGAAGAGAAGGTCATCAGGATGATCAAGGCGAGGGAGAAGGTTGCCAATAGAGATGCTTATTTCACGCAAGCATTGGCTGTCGACTTTCCGGATGCTCGCGGGAACGTCCTAAAAGCAGAAGATGAAGAGACTGGGGGTGATGATATTGAGAGTTTCAAAGAGGATGAAGAAGCCTACGCCAGGGTGAGAAGGGAAGCCCGGGAGATGATCAGGGCGGGTCTGCAGATCCCGAGGTTCGATTGGAATGCCGTGATGAGGGACAGCCGGCGGATCAGAAGCGCAAAGGATCGGGTTGAGGATCATTAAGGCATCGGGGGCTCGTCATGTGGGCGGTGATTTGCGGAGGAATTTTATGTGGAGATGGTGCAGTGCCAGACTGGAAATAATAAATAGCAATATCACAAGCAGACTTATATTACTTGGAAAGACTACCGATTAAGGAGTTATTACCGATATCTTCTTATTTCACAAGTTTTTTACAAACTTCTGAGAAACGGTTATTAAAATTGACGGGAGGAATGCACCGTTTCTGAGTTTTATTATTATTCAATATCTAATGAAGTTTCATTACTGTAGAAGAATGTTAAAATTCACAAAACTTTACCAAAGATTTCGAAAATAGACCTGCGATCATGAAAATTTGTGAGTCATTCAATAATGAAAAACGTATAAACGATATATTTTTCGCGTCAATCTGATCCATGATTTTCCACAAATTTACAAAAAACATGAAAAATCAGAAAATATCGGCAATAATTCTTTAACCATGAATTATTTGTGATGTATTTATCGATGTATTCATATTTATTAGTAAAAAGAATGTAGAAGGAATTAATTTCTGATGTCTAATCGCATGTGTAAAGCGTAATTTTTCTTCACCTTAAAGAACGGTTCATTTTTCCCCAAAAAAATTGTATATAAATTCGATTATTTTCTTACAACAAAACGTTAAAAAATATTAGTATGTTGTAAAAGTTACTTAAATGTCACTGTTGGGTATGGTTATCTCTTCTTTTTTTTCCGCGTTTTAGAAAATAGAAAATCTGAAAATAACTAAACCTATGGCTTAGCACGAGGGACGGGTAGAGTAATTTTAAAGTCATGGGTTATTTGTATTTCAAAAGTAAATTCTGAACAGTCGAATGACTTCCCCTCGCAATACGCCCACTTTTATCATCCTCGAGAGGAAGTGCCTTACGATATGTACTTTTTTCACCACAAATACATCGGCAAATTATATGAATATCGCACTATATTCTCTGGCTGTCGCCGCGTAATTTTACTCGTGAGAAAGCACGAGGGGAAAAAACCCACCAGAACTGCTCAGAATATATTTTTTTCAGGATTTTCATAGTTGAAGTTTTCATCCTCTCAATCTTCCATGCGATATTGATTTAAAAAATCGGCTTTCATCTCTGCGAGTTCATAGGATTTAATTATTCATGATAAATCATGAATTGTTAATCGAATTGTGTAGATTTTAGTATGAAATATTCTAGGTTTGATTGATATTGAGAATGTACTCATGGTTTTATAATTTTTCGTTGCAGGTCCTAGGAATTATTTGCATGGCATGTGCCTCACCGGCATGGCTAGGAGCATCAAGTTGGTTCTTATTCGTATCAATAACATCATTCATCGCTACTCTTCTCTGGTGTTTTATTTATCTGTTGGGTATCCGGGAGGCTCTGAAGCTACCCATCAACTGGCTGCTAACGGTGATTTTCAATTTTTATTTTTAATGTACTCTATTCCAAGAAGAAATAAACGAAAATGTGATTTTCTTACAATAGACTATTGCCCAAGTACCGACATTTTTCGATATAATTCAAGCGATTTTTATTTATAGTCAATATTCAATTACCTACCGGGAAAAGTTTATAATTAATAGAAATTCCACGATTGATCGAAATTTTTCATTTGAGTTAATTAAATCGCAAATTTATTTTCGTCGCAAAAAAATATGTTTATTCAAGACTAGATTTTTTTCTTCATGTAATTCTATAAGAATGTTGAAACGTAATTCTCTTCGAAGAACAAGAGGATTCTCTTAATAAACATTCCTTAACAATAATGACAATTTTCATTATCTCTAATTTATTAAGAGCAGAGCCAACAAATGTTGTCATTAAAAATCCATAAATCGATGAGGAAATCTACAGAAATAGTATACTCTCCGAAAATGATAATAAAATCCAAAGTTGCTTGTTTAAAAATTACTCACGTAAGTATAAATTCAATTTTTTGCCAAATGTCTTCAAGTGGTATTATGCATTCATAAAACCGGAATCGTGAGTTCATGTATCACATGTTCTTATACATATGCCCTATAAAAGGCATTCAATGACGTATTTTACGTCGTAAAAACAACATTTGAATTTATATTATCGTACGTTGTTTGTGTATAAATTCTAACTAGTGTAAAACTTATCGGATAATACGTGTAATAATTATTCTCAATTCAAACGCAATCTGATTCGTCAATCAAGAATTCTCCCAGAATTTCGTAATCGTAAAAGATTTCAAGGTGTCTCTTTTTAAATCTAATGAATTTCCTAACGATTCATTCCATTAATTTATTTATCATTCCATAATTTTATTCCAGGAATTATATAACACCGGAATTATCGTAATTCTCTACGCAATAGCTTTCATCGCTCAACTCGCAGTCTGGAGTTCGGTCCAACACCATCACGCGAGATCAGCGAATATTGCAGCCGGTGTAAGTGGAATTTTGAGTCATAAAATAATCAATGAGTCGATCAATGAGTCAATGATCGATAAGAAAACCCGTCACTATCGCCGCGCAGTGATAAGAACGATTCAAAATGATTCAATGGCTCCTCTCTGTTTTCAGGTTTTTGGAATTTTCAATACATTGGCGTACCTCGCCGGTACCTATTTCCTTTACTACGAATTCAGGACCGGAAGTTCGCAGTGAAAATTAAACAGGAGTACCTGAGAGTTGCGTCAGCACCCAATCACACAGGATTTAACCTGCCGTCTTCGAGCAGGCCATATTGGCCAAAAATCCTTATTTTTCACGACTCGTAACTCCTTATATTTATATACATACAAGATCTACAATTATAAGATACTTCAAAAGTTCTGCTACTTCAAGGGGAATTAAAACAATCGACTTCAATCGTCAATATCTCGAGATCGATAGAGTGAATTTTTAATTTTTGAAAATGCGATTTTATTCAGCCAAAAGGCATCGCTGGAGATATTGATTGAGATCGAAGAAATCATTTTACCGAATTTCCTTTATTCTGTATCTCACCAGAAAATTTCACTCTGATATTTCCTTTCCCCAATTTTCAGCAACGATAAATTGATTATCGGAACTAGCAACATATTGTTTATAGAGATGAATGCTTCGATAATTTATATCACGAGATCATAAAGAATTGTATTGTCATCTTGCGCATGATCATGCAAATGTGCACGATAATATCATCGTAGATACATAGATTTTCTCATGTATATAAAATCCTGTTACAACCTATATATTTCATACTAATATATACATTGAAATTCCTGCCAATATGGAGAGTAAAATTGCTAAACTGGAAGTCTCGACGAACAAATGAGAAAACTGAAAGCGATTTCCGATGCTTGTGGGAAATCTAACGAATTTCGAATGACTAATTATGCTACTTAACATTGGTACAAATTATAATTAATATAAATCCATGTATATCGAGTGTAGAATCAAATCGTTGAGTTGTCAGAGAGTGGAGAGTACTTTTTGCTGGAGTATTTCTGTATTTTAACCGAAAGAGAAATATATTTACACGAGAAACATCGATCGCTGCATTTATCCTGTTAAACTGAGTATTTGTTTCATTTACTTTCTTTTATTTTGTCATTTGACATTTCTCCGATTTTTAGGAACTTGTATCAACAAAATCAAGCCATGGATGACCAATAAAAATTAATGTTGAGTATTTTTCACCCTTTGAAAAGGAAAATATATTATGGCCTAAGAATTTATATGGAATGAATGATCATTCGCATTAATTCTCGAATGTGCAATTTTAGCAGTTTGTGCTCATTTCTTCTTTTCTTTATTAATAGTTCGGTATTGATATGATAATTAGGGACCAGAGGAAAAATCAATGTCTAAACATGGAGAATTGTAAGAGAAATACGCTCATTTTGCCTTTGTATCATTGATCGTCCAATTTTAACGATTACGTATGTCTCGTATTGAGGCATTGCCGTTTCCTTGGAATGTTCCCTGTTCCGAGCGATGAGGCGATTGCAAAGAGGAAAGAGGGAAAATAAAACGGGTTAACCTCCGATAAATTGAGATCTGCAAAGTTGAATCTAGAAGTGATGAAGAAAATTAAGTATATTCTAATTTCATCGCTTGGGAGATGGTGATATCAACTTGAATTCCTGTGGATTCTGCAAAGATTTTAATTCTTAAAATACTTCGCCTATTGAGAGCATCGAAACCCACTTCCATTAATTTCATTTCAATTTTCGTTTTGAAGATCTAAATTTTGAGAAGTCGTGAGGTAGATTGGGACGTTCGGTATCGACTTGACGCTCTATTTTATTTATTTATTGAGTATTAATAATTTAATTTTTACTGCATTTCTTCAATGTTTTATGAAATGTAAAATTGATCGTATGAATAGTTTTAAAAAAGGGGGGGTGAAAGTAATAAAAAATGTTCATACGTATGGAAAACTGAATAGGAAAGCGTTTTTTAAAAATTATTTTAAGTTAGAACTCTGGTAATTCGATTAAAATTCTAGTGGAATTTTTTAGCAAAATTTTAGTTGAAATTCTGGTTATTCTTTGCTTATTCTACTGCAAAGCAATAGAATTACAATAAGAATTATGTGGAATTCCGAATAATATTTCTAAAGAGCTAGCAGGATTTTTACATAAAGCATTTTTCCCGTGAATTCTTTGACACATCTTTCATCGCTGTGAATTCGTTAAGTACCAGAGATAAGCAGGACTAAACAATCGGCTTAAAGTTAATTTACTGCGTCCCAAATCAAATAACAAGTCAATTGCATTATTTATCTTCAATTTAATTTTAGCGATGACGCAGTTGTGAGTATTGATATTTCCTTGTGCAAAACTCAGTCGAGACTGTGAAGGAGTGGGAAACATGACCAGTTGGTCATCAGCAGAATCACCACTCTCAATTAAAAAGCAAAAAGGTTAAATAAAAAATAATGAGATTCTCCTTGAAGTAATTTCATAATCTTGACTGAAATTTCTCCGGGAGAACTATTCATCTGGCCCCGCCCTATTGATTTTCCCGAACCCGTGGAAGTGAAAAGTGAAACTTCCAAGTGAATTTTCGTATAAAAATTTTTATGATAAACATTTTTGGGTATCCATTGGGTGGAAAATATCGCGGGTAGGGGGAATGAATTATTTATGAAGTATTCGGTGTGTTGCAGGAGAAATAGTGAATTTTCTGACATTTTCGCGGCCTTGAGTAGTCTATGGGAGTATTGCGTACTCTAGAGGTTCTTTCATGTGTTAGTTGTGAAACCCGGGTGTGTGATATCATTGATGACGTACATACGCCCACGGAATGGCGACTCGAGTCATAAGGTAAACATACACCTCCAGTCGATCGCGATCAGCCGAGGAAGCACAATCTGCACCAGGTGATAAGGTAAGTTCCGGTGCACTCCTTACTGGTTTATTTTCACTGATTAACAGGCGCGCCCTTCATAGGTTTTACAATCGAGTTGATAATTTAAATGATTTAAAAACATTAGTATAGATTTTTCCTTTCCCATATTACGAAATTCAAGTTTATAAATAGATATCAGATGGTGTACACACTTTTGGGTTTGAATTCCCGCTCATGTGCGATAAATATTTAATTATAAAATACTTTATCTGCGTTTTTATTTCATGATACATTCTGATAAAAAATTGGGGCGAATTGAGTTTTTTTAACGCGAAAAGATTTTTGCTCCAGGAAAAATAAGTTTTTTGTTTTTCAGTGCAATTATTTATTTGTTGATTTGTTATTTATTGACAGATATATATGTATATAGATATATATAATGGAAGTCAAGAATTGAGTATTTATTCGAGATATCGGGTTTTTTAAGTCATTAAAAATTTAACCATTCAGCTCTGAAAATTGAGACGAAAATCTTTGACAGTGTGGGTTTCTTCCAACTCATTTATTTTTCGTTTGAATGCTGACCATAAACCCATGATGTCAATGCTATTTTAATAAAACATCAACTTCAGTTGTGACTGTTTCCGACAAAACGAGTGAGATATAGATAAACGACAGAAGACAAAGTAAACTGTAAAAAATCCAAATAAATTTATTATTCCAGAAGGGAATAATCATTCCTTAAACAAGAACAAGGGCAGCAACAATATTACAATAAATTCGTCTCTCCATTACTATAATTACTGTAATCGCATTATTTTTACATTAAAAATATATTAGTGGATATTAATAAAAATATTTAAATTACATGCTGGAAAAAAATAGTTACAAACATGCGTGTAATAATGTCTATAAACATATGGCGTCACCGCTATTTTGATAGTATAAAACAGTATATATGGGTCGACCCACAAAAACACGACCTTGTCCCCCTTTTTTCAGTTGGAGAAGTGGAATCCGTTGGAGGGGATGCGTATAGATTACGTTGGCCAATGTACTTTTTAACTGCAAAATAAAAATAAATAAAATTATTCTCTCAATCTAAAAATTTCATTTTCTCGTTACAATTGCTCATTTTGCCCCGAGATCGGTTAAATGTAATGTACATTAATGTAATGATTAAATCATTAATGCAATGATGAAATTCCTATTATAATTAACATTTCCCCATTATAATTAACAATTAATCATTCAAATCACTCGAATTGCGGCTTAAAATATAAATTTCGTTATCATCATCGGATGATTTAACGATTAATTATTTCAAAATTTTGAATTTTGAAAAAAAATTATAGAAAATAAACGCAAAAATTGACACAAAGATGTGAACGTAAATGACAAATTGAATATAATGTTGATTTTACAGCGGGAACCGTGAAAAGTGAAAGGGGAAAAATTATTAGGAGTAAATGAAAGATTAAAAAATTTGAAGTGAAAATATTTGACGGAAATAATAGCGAGTGTTAAATTCGGATGATGTGTGAATAAGAAATCGAGGGTGAAGACTAATGGATTTTTTTTTTCTCAGAAAGATAAAACGATATCATGTCGCATACAGTAACGGTGAGGACCGCAACGGTGACCACAAGCACCTCCAGCATTCTTATCAACACGGGATTTATGAGGTCTTATCGAGGTGTTCTCAAAGTTCTGGAGCTGGTCAGTATTTTGAGCGTTCCCCTTGCACATTCATTGTTTATGCCGCCCCGTCAATGATTAATTAATCATGTGTTCCAGATACTGGGTATCATCTGCACGGGAATCATGGGTTATTTATTTGATTACAGCATTGCTATACGACCTGGACATTTATTTCTGTTTCTGATGGTCACAACATTCATGATTGCCACTTTTATTCTCGTGCTGAGTTCCCTCTTTTCGATATCTTCTGAAGCTATGATCTCCAAGACTCTTTTTGTGAGTGAAACTACAAATTTTACATTCACATCGAAAAAATATTCCACCTGAAATTATATTGGCCATCTATTTGAATTCATTACGAATTTTCATTTTCCTTTTCAATTAATCAATTAATTTGTGGTTAATTCTATCATAAAATGTACAACTCTTCGCTGAGTTTCCAATAAACTCAATTATAATAGAAAGATAAAAATAAGCATGACAACAAAAATTGCAAAAAGAATGGATCACAGTATTTTTACAGGAATTCTTAGAGTTCAAACAGGAATTTAATACTTTAACTTAACTCTTCAAAGCAAGCGTTGGGTTTTTATATTTAATTCCGTTGCAGTCGACCCTTACGAAATTTCGACTAATTAACGATTTTCTCATTAATCAGGAAGTTTTGTATCATGCCATTGCATTTGGCTTGCTCCTGGCTGCCTCAATAAACTTCATGATGCTGATAAGCGATGAGAGAAGAGGAGCTACGAGATACTACAATCTCCACGTAACTGTGGCGGTGAGTTTATAGAGATAGAATAGAAATTTACGTCACCAGGAGGTGAGGCATCAGCTCATGGTCTTCCCTGTGATTTAAGACGAGGCCAGGGTGATGCATTACCTTTACTATTTTCCTTTCCATATTCTTTCGAATGTGTCCATTTCATGAATAATCTCTTATTTCTATCTCTTTTTATGAATCTGACTGTCTAATCCCCAAAGAATTAAAGAGAGACAAATCGAAATGACCATTCTCTCTACTTATCGACTTATCTCGAGAACTGTCAATTCGAATTGAAAATAATTGAAGACTTTTTTGTAGCTCGTTAAATTTTTTAGAAGAAAGGTTCTCTGGAATTTTATCTTAGAGTCGATAGTTTCGGTAGATCAATCGGTACTTACTGCGGAGAGATTAAGATATGAATATAATTATTATATTTAATCTGTCGTTACTATGATTGGGAAATTAATTATTGGTATATTTTGCATTGATCTTTATTTATTATTTTACAGAGTCTGGGCCTCATCAATTCTGTATTTTACCTTCTCAGCACTGTGTTCGGAATTCGATCATACAGAGGACTATAAACTGTCCGGAATTATGATTACATTTCATAATTCATGACGATTTTGTGAAGCCATGCATTCTGATCATCTCCGATGACGCGGAAAATTCTTCACTTATTTTTTAAAAAAATATACACCAATAGATCGTCCATATTTCGTACATATTTAAAGCTGATCAAGTCTGACCGTTGAAAACACTTTACGCTTAAACCAAAACGTCAATTGTAACGTGATTATATTTTTTGTTCAGACATAGAATGCACAATTTTATTTAGATTATAAATTATTATGAGGAAAAATTACTTCTGTAGAAGAATTGTGTATTGCATTGAGAGAAATTCTTTCATGATCTTCCGTGAATTGATTCTCCCAAAAAAAAAATCAGTACTAATGGGACTAGTTTTGCGAATATTTAAATTTCTTCTTGAAGTTATCTTTGATATCGTGAACATTATGACAGTTCACTGAATATACTTCAGGCAATTATATTGACTTTCTAAAGTCATTTCCTCTCATAATATTCCACAGAACTAATGACTTCACCAAAAAAACGTACCAATTACCCATTAAAAAAAATCACGTCCTTGAAAGTTATTTGTTTTTAATGGAAACTTTTTCAAGCGTCTACTTAATTGAATGTTTAATTAATCCAGTCAAAAATATCTCTCACGTGGAACATATACGCGTCGGACAGAAGTGATTTTCCCTCTCAGTGTAACGAAGGATTTTTTAACGAGTGATTTTAATTTATTGTATTTTCTTTTTCTTATTGAGAAAAATGGACATTATCCGCAGCTAACCATTGAAGCTGCAGCATTTGTATCAAATTTACAATTTGTACAATTTATAATTCACAATTTGTGTCGAATACCTTTGAATATTTATACTAAATATTTAGAATAGCGGAATAAAGCCTTGTATCTGATACTTGTTGTGCATTCACTTCTTCAGCGCTTCACAGGATGTAATTTTAATGATTCAATTATCATTACCACATCACATGAAGAGCCCCGTGTAATTAAAAAATTGGGAGACCTATTGACTAGATTATTTTTAATACGAAATCATTTCTTTGCCCTAATCATTCGATTCTAGTTATTTTTATCGATCTTTCATGTATGGGAGATTGAATTACAATCGCTCACGAATTAAGTGTCTCTTTTTAAAATCTGCCGAGTCATTTCATCGAGATGAGACGAAAAAAAAAATTTTTTGTGGAGTTTTTTATAATTCCTCTCGGTATGTGGCCTGCTCGGTGCATCGTGGCGCGTGCCTAAAATAGATGCTATTTCCACGGATGTTGTCTCGACAACGATGCAGGGGGTGCAACGACACGCGCGATCATTGAGTGCCCGTGAGAATCCCCTTGTTTCAGTCTCTACCCAAAACCCGGTCTTTAAACACATCAAAAAATCCTCCAGATCCCAAATCATCTTCAAAGCTCCACCAAAAATCATTTCAATTGATTACCGAGCCCGTATCAAATCGATCTATCCAATAATTCGACTATTGAAATCTTGTTTCGGAATAAATCCTTAAATAACTCCATTCCCCCAGCTCATCTCCAACGTCTTCAGGGAATAATCTAAATTAACTACCGCGCATAAAATCGAACGATCGAGAAATCCGTCGTTTTGGCGAACGACAGGGTTTCAGACAGAAGTTTAATCGACGTAAAAAGTAAATTTTAAAGAAGAAGATTAAGGGAAAAATATAAAAAATGAAAGGCAGTGGAAGACCGATAATTAGGATGGCTCCGGAGACGACGCATGGAGCTGGTGGAGTCGAGTGTTGCTTCTGTCGCTGCTGTACTTGCATTCACATTGAATTCTTCAGGACTCTTCCTGGAGTTGTGAAAATAGCCGAAACGGTAATCTATCATGATTTTTGTAATGTCATTTTAGTGGGGAAGAGGGAACGGAAATGGGTTCTCTGCTTGAGCTTTCGACGCAATTCGCTGAATCGAAGACACATGGTGAAAATTTTGTTAGAAAAACTTTTAAAAAGGAGAATATGCACTTTAAAAAAAGGTTTTATTGACGATTCAATGTGCCTTAGATTCATAGCTATTTCAGGTGAAAAATGAAAAGAAAAATGAAAAGAAAAATGAAAAGAAAAATTAAAAGAAAAATTAAAATTAAAAATTAAAAGAAAATGAAAGAAAATATCAGCGACTATTTTTTTGAAGTGTCAATTTAAATAATGAATGTCATAAAGGATTTATTAATTTGTTGGATTCAAAGAATGAATAAAAAAATTAAATTAAATAAGTCCCTGACAATTAGGATTGTAAAGCACCTTTTACCAGAAATCCCGAAAAATTGTGCAAAATTGTGAATCACTCTACCTCTCCGTCAATAACTTGCATTTATATTATTTCTATGTCTTCAATTTGATATGTATTACAGGTAATGAGTGGCATTATCCAGAGTCTATTGATAAACTACGGTCTGCGATACAGTGCAACAATCGGTTCCGCCTTCGAGGGGTCGTTAACCACATCTTCAGCGTGTTTTCTCACATCTTCCGTATTATTAGCCTGTTATATTATTTCTAAGAAATCGTACGGACTTATTCGAGCATCTTTATTTGTAAGTACCGAGGATTCAATTTAAAATAATAAAATACGAATTAAAATCGTTATCATATGAGACCCTTTGGAAAAAATCCAGAGTAACTGTCATTTATTGACCCAAGACTCTTCTCCGGTTCATTTTTTAGATAATATATCATAGACTCCTTCCATTACATAAATAAAACCTGTAAGATACCTTCGTAATATGAAAGAGACAGTTGCAAGTTCATTTTCCATTTATTCCCGTTTTATTCTCGTTTTATTCTCGATTTAATTGTCAACTGCTTTGAAATTCTACAAATGAATTCACATAATTTTAATCCAGAGTGACACAGGTAATGACGTCTCGAGATTTCTGTGAAATAATTAAATGAATCATTCCCAGGAAATGATGTTCAATACTTTGGCATGCTTTCTATACCTGAGTTCTGCGTCCTACCTCGGATTTTCGACGAAGATGTTCCTGTGGCCACAGTACTACATCACTCCTGGATTTGACGTGTATCCGGCAATGACAGCAGCATATGTGAGTAATTAAACTAATTCAATAGATAAATCAGATGTAACAATTCTACGTGCTAATTAAATTAAGTACCTCCGTGACGAAAGAGTAATGTATGTAGAGTAAGTGTAATGCATGGAATTACTCATTTTTTATTATCCATTTATCCCGAAAAATATCAATTTTGAGAGAAAATACGAAATGACCTTTTTAGCTAGAAATTTAATTAACTACAGAAAAGTTCTTTAGTTTTTCCTCCTTAAATTAATACTGGTCTTAAAATGGTCTTGTTTCTTTATTTCCTCACTGACAATAGAAATAGTTCCCCTAGGATTATTTCCAGTTTCGAATATTTTTTTTTATCCAGATGCTGAGCGGCGTCGTAGGATGTTTACACGGGGCCGATGCGTACTTCTCCTTCCGGGAGTACAGGAGAAGATAATCATGGCATCTGTTAACTCCGAAATAATCGTTGTCATATTAATAATTAATTGTTACTGCAGTCATACCAAAAAATTCCTAAGGCTATTACGTTTCTAATGTTTTAAGATATATTTATAATACCAGAAAAGAACGCGCGCTTCGTGCACGCATGTCTCGCTCTTAAGTGGAAATTCTAATGAGAAATTGAAAATCAAAAGAATAGGCTTCAGATAATTATTTCGACTGAACATAAAATTTTTGTTTATTATATTGATTATACAATTCTTTGTGTACATAATTTTTACAATTTTATTATCTCGCTGACTTCTGAAATAAATTCTATTTTAATTCCTAAAAAATGGATAATATAAAAATATATTACAAAATATTTTTATCTGAAAAAAAACAAATATATTTGAATGAATTTAAATGTGTAAAATATATGATATATATATATTATATTTATACATTAAACCGGTGTGATGGGATAGATAACAGAAGATCCAGACGGACTGATTTTATTGATAAACGTTCAAAGTTTTATTGACTACCCCAGAATAATCTGTGAGCTGAAGAAGTCCTGTCACTAAATCAATGGGATCCTTGATGAATCTATTTCCATGAAGGTACAACATCTCCAAATTCAGAAGATCACTGAATATTTTCTGTGGCAAGTTTCTTAAATGATTCGACTGCAAGAATAATGCACGGAGACGAGTTAAAGCGGAAAAAGTTTCAGGTTTTATCGTTCTGATGACATTTTCTCCCAAATCAAGAGTCTCTAGAAAACTGAGATTATCGAACATGTCAGGTCGCAGTATCTCTAGCTGATTGCCGTTCAATCTCAGGTTTTTCAGGTACCTGAACCTTGAGAATGTGTTTGGTTCGATAATTTTCAGCTGAATGTGCCCCAACTCGAGATTCTGCAGATAACTCGCGATTGAAGAGAAAGAAGTTGCAGACAGTTTCGTAATCTGCTGATAGTTTACTCTTATGGATTTGATAGACGAAATATTTGCACAGAACTCTCGAGGAAATTCGGTAAAGTGGTTGTCGAGGAAATCTATTCGTTCAAGGTACTCTTGATTTATGAATGGAGTTGGAAAGCCTCGAAACTGCACGCACTCTATGTGAAGAGACCTCACGTCTTGGACATCGCTGAAGGAGTCCGCCGTGACGGTGATGATTCCAGGTGTCCTGCAAATCCAAGAACCAGTATTGAAGAACTTCAGATCTGTTTTTTTCCTCTTAATATCTGGATAGGCTTGTATCAATACTGTCGAATTTTCAGCTCTACATTCTTTGTAAACACCCTTTCTCTCGCAGGACAGAAAATGTGCATCACTCAGAAAACACCTTGACGTTAAAATGAGAATGGAGATAAACGTAAAGACCTCCATGTCTCTGGGATCCGAAATTAACTACAAAGTTTCGATTATTCAGAGTTTATATACCACTATAGAACTGCTGATAATACACATGACATACGAAATATGGACAATTGTGCAAATATATTTTCAAAATAGCGTCGCATGCGAATGGATTTCGCTAAAATTCTTGATTTTTCCATTCAAATAATCTGTTCAAATATTCTTCTATTCCAGCATTCCATGTGTCAATAATTTTTTCAAAAACTGGTTTTATCCAGAAACCTTCGTTATTTCTTGATAGCGCAGTGAAATTGAATCTCTCAATGAATTGTTGAAATGAACAATATAAACAATATAAACGATAACAACAAGTAAAAGGCGAATAAAATAAGTATATATATGGATAATTATTTTATGTTATATATATACAATTGTCTGATAATGGGAACCAATTAAAAGAGAGGAGGGAGAGGATCGTAAGACCGAAATTTCAGCGCAATCTTCGCTTGTCAAATTTTCATGCTGTTATCAGTACTTGGGTGAATGGAAGGGGATGATCCCCACACTGGGCAAAAAAATATACACTTCCCCAAGACATTTTTGCAAAAGTATATCTCTACATAAAAATAATGGAGTAGTTTTTTAACGGGAAAACAGACGCGGGAGATTAACGTGTCAGTTTGGGTATACGTCGGTGGTTGAGTGGGAAAAATAAATAGAAATAGCGACTTGGAGATTGAACAGTCGTCGAGTGGCTTTTGCGATCTTGAAGTATTTGATCGTGCGTGAAACATCAAGGCTTTGTACATCAATGGTTTTCGCTGATCACCTAGAAAACCGAGAAACTTCCAGAGCGAAGAAACGCGGTTTATGCGAATGCATGAAGGTTTGTTCATAATTAATTGAAATGGATTTAATTATTGGAGTCCCTCAAGGGATTCCAAGAGATTTAATAGAATAGAAAATGGTGAAAATTTAGAAAAATTTGACATTTTAGTTTCATTCAATTCTATTCCATTACGTAACTACATGCCTCTCTTATTGGGATTTTTCAATTTTTATTTTCGATTATTTCGATTATTTCTCGGTTCCCCGACTCTACGACCTTCAGGGGCCAAAAGGTAAATAATCCATATTGTGTCATCCAGTGAGGAATTGAATTTCGAGTACAATGAAACCGACAATTAAATTTTTCTCGTATTCGAATTTGCTATAAATAAATTCGGTTGGTGGTTACAGTGAACCCGTTCTCCTACAGCCCCCTGCACGGGATTATACAGCGGGAGTCCACTGCAATATATTTACACAAAACATGCACAAAACTTGATTTTATATCTCCATCGAGGCATGATAATATAATAGACATCTAATTTTCCAGGGATTTGATGAAGTTTTAATTTACAACATAATTGATGCATTGCAGAAGAAAGGGAGGATAATGACAGCATCAAAAACAGCATTCACCTCATCCCCAAGGAGGTCCTAGCCCGTCACCACTCCAAGAAAACCACCAGGAAAAGCACAAGGAAAACATCAGCTTCCAAGACTCCTCTGCAGCCGCGTCTCACCAGAAGTCGAAAGCAAGCTGTGCTGCAAACAAAAAAAATGGGAAACAGAGCTCGGGAGGACACGATCAAAAGATTTCTCTGGTTCCAGAGAACTACGAATTCATTCCGGTACCCCTAGTTCCTATCCAGCAGGTTCAATATTGCTTTCACCACTGAGCTGAGATCCCGTTCCTGGAGGTGGAGTCATACTGGAAGGGCTGCCACGTGCCACATCGAAAACGCCAATATCAATTGAAAATAGAAATACAAAATCCACAAACCTTACGATTTCTTAACCATCTTAGTATTTGAAAAAATTTAATTTTATTGAAACACTGGGTATAACTATGAACTATAAGAACAATTAGATGTGTATTGTTTTTATTTTTTTCAATTTGCCATGAATCAAAATTTCCGATTTTTTCCGAACAAAACGAAATATTTATCAACGATAATTATTCAAATTCTCATTGAGTAATGCTGCACTTATACTTTATCACATAAATTTCTTCACTTACGTCGGTGCATTACATAGGCCGTAGTAATTATAATAGAGGTTTATACCAATTATGATCTAAACATTGGTTTCTCCACGTGACTAAAGAGACATACATACAGAAATGTTGTGTATTTCTTGACCCTTTTCACCTTCATGACGAAACAAATGGAGAAAGTCTCAATATGCACAAGCAGAGATAAACTCAGACTTGCTCGTTAATTGCATATAGAAGGGTAGAATAAAACTGGTTTACCAAAAGCATAGACCATGTCGCCCTCCCTGGTGTGAGATTGGTACTAAAATTCCTTGGGCTAGGCCTATGCTCTCTGATTCTGTCTATGTTGGACGGTCCGGACGAGCCGAAGTGGAACGAAAAAAATATATATACATATATCACATTGTACAGAGGTAGTACATAATATAATCCTCACAGCGTCGTATGACGGCACATATGTATCAAATTTTGTGTCTGTATGCGTACGCCAAAACTACATAACTCCAAGTTTATGTGACCGACCGTTTGACTACTTGTTTCACGATGTGCAAAGGTTAGATCTAGTGTCTCGAGTGTTCAACAAAACACCAGTGAAGCAGATGTTGCTGTCATAATGTAGTAGAACATTTTAATATCGTTATTTTGTGCGGAGGATTGACTCAACAGGGTAAAAGGCATCCCCAGTATCCAAATAAGGATACATGGATGCTACTAATGGCCAGAAGCCCCTCGGTAAGTTGACTAATTCATTTACCCTTCCTACCCCCTCGCAGAGAAATTTATTTTTCACCTCAATTCATTATTTATATCCAGAATTTTTCACTCAGATCGACGAGATTTTCACTATTTAATTACCTATCGTTCGACTGCAATTTCCACTCCATCTCGCAGTGCGATGAAAATTTTGGGGGTTATCATAATTTCTCATTACTCATTTCACCTCGCTCCACTCTAATTAATTTTTAATTACCACTTTTTCTGTGGAGTTTATTGATTTTAGTTGACGAGTGGAAAAAGTTTGCATGAGGAGTTTTTAATTAAGCTGTCTGTGGATAATTATTATAATTTTATCATAAAGATTTGATAATATTATTCAGGTGGGCATCCACCCACTGGAGTAGGCACTGGTGTGGATAAAAATAAAGAGTGGCAAATGGAGCTCCTCATGGAGAAGCTGAGGTCGAAGTCATCAGCTCTGAAAAGTCTCGTGGAAACTGCCAAGAATCTGCGAATGGCAATGCTCGACAAGAGATTTGCCATCGACAGTATTGAAAAGGGTCAACTGCAAAAATGTCTGGATACACTCCAACATTCCATCAAAGTGACCTCCCTCCAGTCGATGGTGGAGAGATTGGAGAGTCTCACGAGACAATTGGGGTAAAATTATTACGACGAGTTGAATTCATTTTTACAAGTATAATTTGCATGATATTAATGATTTCTTTGGCTTCAGGTTGAAGTTCGCGATGGTGCCCAATGGAACTGAAACCGGATTATTTATCTCTTCTGATATGTTTTTTCTTGAAGTTCTTCTGGAACCGTCTGGAATAGTTAAGGATGTAAAGATTCAGCATGAAGGGAAGAACGAACAGCAGAGCTGCGAGGAACTCGTTTCGTGCCTGTCAAGGGGTGATTTTGTGGACTTCACTGCTCAACTCGAGGGACTTGCGTCTATCTATCAGCTCAACGCTGACAAGAAAGTCAAGTGCAAGGCCTTCAGTGCTTTACAATCGCTCGAAGCGGATCTCGGAGTTTTAGCCCAACTGCAGACTTTCATGAAAGAGCCTTTCAATCTCGTTCACAAGAGCCCAGTTGGTATCCTAGAGAGGCGAAAAGGAGGTCACGCCATGAAGCTGACGTACTTCGTCTCCCCCTACGACTTAATCGATTTGGAGAGCCGCAAGTGTGATCAGTTATCCCCCGAAGTAGTGATAACCCGTAAGATCGGTCACTCGGTAACAGTCTGCCTGGAGGGTTCAGCAGCCCACAAGCTGCCAACAACAAGTATTCTTACAGTGAATCGTTCAGCCACCGGTAAAAGCACCCCCTCGTACGCCCCCTTAACAGGCTCTAACTCCTCCATGTTACCGGCGTGTTTCGTTTTGAAGCTCGCTCGAAAAATGCCAATGTGCGTTGAGCTGGTGAATCAGATTCAAAAAGTCACTGAGTTAGAGTGCGCCGATCTGTCACCCCCTCAGCCCCTACTGAGCCTCTTGGTCCAGCACTCGAGTGGTGGACAGTTGGATTGCAGGAACAATCGTGGATTATACGTTACTCTCCCTGATCAGCAGCACTGCTACTTCATGACTGAGAACAAGAGCATGGAGGGTGTTCTGGTGGGTAGTATTCCCTTTACCCATCCAGCCCACGTGCCCAGAATCCTCGGTTATCTTCGTCAACAGGCCCTCTTCAACACTCTCTTAACTAGCTGTGTTAGACCAATGGCTCGACAGGAGCTTGAACACACGACGATGCTTGAAGTAAGTGCCCTGTCCTGGCAGCACGTGTCCATCAGCCTCGAGCATCCATTCGAGGAAACAATGGCAACAGCTGTATTAGATCTCTCTGATATATCAGCAGTCAAGTGTAAACTTTATGGTGTCAGTGTTGCTGACGACGAGGAGACTTTCGACGTTATAAGCAAAGTATTGCAAAGGTGCCTTAATATACCAGTGACAATGAGAGCACTCATTAAAACCTGGGAGAGTCGTGACTCAATGCCCATTAATAATATCAGCGGCAGCGGTACTGGTGGTACGACAAATGGTAGTAACTATAATGTTAATTTGCAGGGACCACAGAATGGTCACGATGGTAATACACCAATGGATTTTACCAATGGTGATACCAATATCAAAGTTGAGCCCGGATTGAATGGCAATGGTAATGGTATGAGACAGCAAATAAATCAACAGCAGCAGTCTTTTTTAGATGCCGGAACGGAGAATAGTATCGGGTTTCCGTCGTTTTCCGGCCAATCCGATACACAAAATACTATGTTAAATCCATTGCAATTGGGTGCGCTGCTACAGGGCAAGAGTTCACCAGTTGGGGGAATTTCGTCGTCTACACCGACGTCTGAGAGGTCGAAGAAGAATAGAAAGAGGAAGACTGCTGATGGGATTTGGAGGAGTCCAAAGAGCAAGAGTGATGACTCTGGGGAAATTTTGCTTGAGAGCTCGAGCTCGGATTCGACACCCCTGGGTACACCAACCTCTAGGGACAATGCCAATGGTACAAGGACACCAACACCTACCTCAGCAGCTGTGAGTTTAGTCACTGGATTAGATCTGTCTAATCTCGCCAGTGATGCCAGTGATGTTGGGGACACCAGAAGCTCCACTGATTATGATGTCGATAATGAGACTGAGGTGATGGAGGTGCATGATCTGCCTGACGATTACAATGAGATTATGAAGAAGGAGAGGAAGTCGAGGAAGAATCGAGAGGACAAGAAGAGCCCCAATGTCTTCGATGAGAAGAGCAATGTGGTGCCCTCGTCACTCAGCATAACACAGATAACGAATAGTGGAGTCACTATCACACCCACAAGTTATAATTCTGTGATCCCAGGGATTAGTTTAGAGAGGAGACCTGGAATTGAATTAATTCCAATTACACCAACATCTTTATCAAGCTCAGTTACCATCACACCGATCACTCCAGCGACGATAAAGCCGGTTAATCCTGAAGACAGAAGAGACAGGAAAAAGACGAGTGATGATAAGGGGAGGATTGAGAAGAGGAGAAAGCGGAAGAAGGAGGACAGCCCCATGGGACCACCTGAGAAACTTCCTCTGAAGACGCAGGATCCACTTTCTAAGCCGGTTTCTGTCAGTATTAAACCAGAGCCTCAGCAGAGTATCTCAAGGCCCTCGTCACCTGCTACTATCAAGAGGTTTAATCCTTCGCCGACTCATACTAGTCCTCTCGCTTTGGTGGGAAAATCCTCACCGACTGTTAAGTCATCATCCAGTGGGAATAGTAGCTCTTCCTCAAGTTCCTCGACACCCAGTAAATCCATGCCCAGCCCGAAGCACTCGCCAGTTTACAGCAGCCCGAAACACTCGTCTTCAGGTGAGGCAAGGGAGTATTTATGATACCAGAGGGAATTTTTTACTTTTCCATATAGAGGGGTAAAACTTTTAAACGTTTATACTCGACAAGGGGAATAGCGTTTTCGACGAAACAGTCTATCATCTATTCATAAGACTCTGTGTTATTTTCTACTTCTAAGTTGATTATTGTTAATAATAATAAATAGACGATTGAGCGAAAATTTAACCGGAATATTTTTTATGATATTGACTGTCACTGATAATTTATTTCAGATTCGAATCTTCAAAATTATATTTCTTTCAAATAATATTTATTTTTTTTTTATTTCGGAGACCTAATTTTTTAAATGCATTCGATCTGTAGAAAAATTACAATTTTAATACGACTTTGCTAAAGTAATTCTTAAGGTGGAGATGAATTATCTACGAATGATTTATAAAGAAAAAAAAGGGTCGTAATCATTTGATAATTATGAACCCCCACAGGTCTATCCGCCAACGTAAGCCCGAAGCATGGCACATCGTCCCCAAAACACGGTAATTCTGCGAGTTCCGGCAAGCCCAGTATGTCAGCCTTGAAATCAGCTGCCAACAACTCGCCCTCACCCTCTGGTAAGAGCAGTGAGCAGAGTTCATCGAAGCCAAAATCCTCAAGCAAAGATCCCTCCAGAGAAAAAGAGAGAAAGACCACATCCTCATCCACACTGTCCTTCAGTGGTTCTGGTCATCAAAGCCCAAAAACCAAATCCTCCAGCAACAAAACAAAGTCGATGGATCTCCTCCCGAGTTCGGATGGCCCATCGTCCCTTCCCAGCAGTGGCAGCAGTACCCCACCCTCTGGGGGTTCAGACCTCAGTAAATCAGCAACTGCCCAACAGCAGCAAGCGAGAAATCGGAAGGGATCCCTCAGTGCTGTTATTGACAAACTGAAAAATGCTCAACACGTGACTGACGAGGGTAATGGCAGTGGAAAATCCAGCGAGTCAGGTTCTAAAGAGCGACCTCCAACATCCACCAAGAGCAATGAGGGAAAAAGTGCAGGGAAGAACAGTCCCTCCATCGACAGCAAAAATCCTGGTGAGTATATGGTGAAACATAGCTCTGATGGAATGAAGATAACCATTAACAAAACTAGAGCTAAAGACTCAAAGACTGGTAACATGAAGATGTCCTCTGGTGGAGTGAGAGAGCCAGTGTCTTCAGGTTCGTCTTCATCTGGAAATGGCTCGCCAAAAACTCACACTGGATTGAAACCAGGTGTTAACTCTGGTCCTGCCTCGAAGAAACCGCAGTCCCAGTCTTCCCTGAAGATCCAGCAGGGAATGAATGCCTCAAGCATGTCAAATAAAATAGGCTTACCAGGCCAGAAGATTTCCAGCATGAAATCGACATCAGGCTCTTCCTCGAGTGGCGGTGGAATTCTGAATAAGAGTGTAACAAAGTCCTCGGGATCGCCGAAAATGTCAAGCTCAGGGGCAACAGATCTCAGCAGAAGTAGAGATAAATCTCGTATGCCAAAGTCCGGGGAAAAGTCTGGTGGGCTATTTGGCTCCAAGTCGATGGACAGAAAAGCCAGTCCCTCAGCCCTCCGTGAGGAGAGCGAGCCCGAAAGGGCTTTCAAACTTCTTGCTGCGCACGCATCGATGTCCAGTGTACCTCCTCAGATGCTCGTGGAGGGTCTGATCAAGCAATTGGATACGAATTTTCAAATTCCAAAATTGTCAGCACGTAATACAGACTCCAGTGATAAAAAATCAACAAGTGATAAATTGCCAACACCTGACCACAGTAGTAATAAACTTCTGGAGAGTCTGCCTACCAGTAAGATTGACTCTAAGGTTCCAAATACGAATATATCGGGTTCTAAGACATTGGATTTATTAGAGAGACGTGAAGTGGCACAGAGTAAACCTGACAATTCATCGACTGCCATGCCACTGATGAATCTCAATGCTCTCGATGCCACTATTCTCAAATCATCGAATGTACCTGTTACCCACGACTCTGATGTGCCTACAAATTTGTCGATGCAGTCGGATGTGGAAGCAAGAGACGTCTGCAAGGATCTGACGATCAGTCGAAATTCAACTCCTCAATTCTTAAAAAGTGTTCCAACGACCAGTGCAAGTGACGAGAATATCCTGGGGCATGGTGACACCCTGACAGAGGCTCTCGTTTCATCGAAAGCATCGAATTTCTCCACATCAGGCTCTTCAGTAACATCAGTCACCTCTGAGAGTCTCAATTTATCCACTAAACCAGCGGACGCTGCCTTGAGTAAATATAAATCAGAGGACCGTAAAGCCATCGATAAATCAGCATCAGTCCTGCCACTGTCATCAAGTACTTCATCGTCCATTGATGCTCCTGTTAAATCAACTACGCCAGTACCAAGTGCTGAGACCAATGACATGCTACTGGATTTTTCAACCCCCAAGGACGTACCCAAGGTCGCTTTGTCCAGTATCCCTGAGAGAGCTATGAGTCTTCAAGCTCCTGCTCGAAGAAATACACCACCACCACCTCCACCTCCACCTCCACCACCACCGGCTTTCCCATCAAGTCCATCAGTCTCTGTGCATATTCTGAAGAGTCCCGTTCCCTCACCCAGAGTCATTCCTCCGTCTCCGCATTCTGCAGCCTCACCCTGCATCACTGATGATGAACTTATGGATGAAGCACTGGTGGGATTAGGTAAATGAAGATTACTGAATGCACTGCGTTTTTCGCAGGCAATCGTGTGTCATTATCTCGGAAAAAGGAATTTTTTCTTCGAAGAGATATACTAGGGCTGTTTCGAGAAATAGATGGGATACTTTTCAGTGCCAATAACTACGATTTTGAGAGGAAATTGAATTTTATTAATTACAAAAAAATACATCGATAGTTTTGTCACACTCTGAATTGTCAACTAGGAAATTCATAAGGATGAATTGAATTTTTTAATGAATGGTTCCACTTTCCTTTCATCGCACTCTGATATCTTTGTAGTTTTTTATTCTGTCCATAAAAACCATGACACGATTATCATTTGAAAAGTATCTCTCTCATAAAATGATTGATGTCCTCAAATTATTGATTTAACGGCTCCATGTTCTGAGAGCGATCAAGTGTAAATTATTATTTGAATACTTTAATGATTATTATATTTCCGACACTGACCAGCCCATGTTTGATTAGAAAGCTCCAATAAATTAATCAACGACAATAGATTGTAGATATTAAATGGTTCAAGTGGTCGTGTGCTTCCTTCCGACAATAATACAAAGATTTTCTCTCCCCACCCATGGGTATGGTCATTACCAATAATTATTTTATTTTTAATTGTTTATAGAAGATTCAGTAGAAGCCATGGAGTCGGCAATTAGTCGAGTCCTGTTATTTTAATGACAAACTCGTGTTTATAAGGACTGAAGAGGTCGTTGGAATAAATTATTTAGATAGGAATGGAAAAATTGTAGAATAATTGAATCGAAAGGGATGAGATTGAGAGCTTGAAATGCCGGAAATGTGGTTCACTATGAGAGTTCAAAGATTTTCAAATGAATTATGTGCTGCCCAGTCGACAAAATTTCCAAATGAAATGACGATGAGGACGAGAGATTTCATCAATCTGTAAAAAATATAGTGTCTACATACGCAGATACGATAGTATATGTAATAAAGTATAATAAAAGGGTAAAATAATTTGTATAAAAAACAATCAACTACAAGAATATTGAAAATTAAGACACGAAGGATGTACGAGTATGTATACATGTATATATGTGTGCATGTAGTATGTGCATGCATGTACATATGCATAATCACAATGTATTATCTTTATCTCCCGAAGACTCACGATTATTGATCTGAGGCTCGCGAATAAATACATTTCCTTGTTTCAAAAATACAAATAACTTTATTTATTTATCCCGAAATATACACATATTTTTATTTTAATTATCAATTTTTTATAATTACTCAACAAACGATGAATTGGAAGCTGTGGTAGTATTGCACAAAAAACTTCTCGGCATAATAGCGTCCAAAAATTCATCTCCATATCCTCGGCAATTCAATCGAGCAAAATATTCCATTGAGTAAAAAGTAAGGAGTAACCCATTACCAAATGAGAGCAGCAGCCAGAGAAAGAGATTTCCAAAATTTGTAGATGTTTTTCTAGTTATATAGACGAGGGGATATCCGACGCCTCCAAATAACAGAAAGAGCATTGGGTGGAATAATCTAAAAGAGACGCTGAGGATGTACTCGTGGAATACTGCGGAAATTACGAACACCGCGCAAGTGGCAACATGTTTATTCCCAGGAACAATAATTTCGTAGAAATCTTTGTAGAGATAAGTGTAAAGCCAATCATGAACGACGATATTCCAGTTCCTGTAGAAAGCATCAAAGGATGTGGCAGTCCACCAGTCCTGCTCGAGAGCGCAATAAAATTAGTTAAGATTTATTTTCTCAAATTTATATTAAAACTAATGAATTAATATCGTAATATAGTATTTATCATTTCATTGGAATAAAAAAACTCACCCTATAAAAGAGTCTATCGCCGAACCTGAGGAGTTCTGCCCAAGCATTAAACCAGGCATGAAGAAGACAATAAAATCCGCACATGTACATTCCCATTCCCGGGAGCATGGAGCTAAATAGTTTGGGTACAAAATTATGCACCGTAATTGGTTCCCTCCCGTAATTACCATAGGTTGGAGAAATAAATCGTTCGTACAAAAATGCAATAAAAAACATGACAGAGATGACTTCCATGAACTGAGAAATCACGAAGTTCCACCTGATAATCTTTGTTCTTGGGTAATTATCTCGATAAACGAGTGTCGGTGCAAACATGAAATACAGGAACTGGGAGAATCCCGGGTAATTAATTTCCCTTCCCTCTGTGTGAGGTTTATGATAGATCACCCTGGAACTCGTGGTTCTCACAAAGGCATGTGTCTTCATCATCAATCGAACCTGTTCCATCGTAATAATAAGAGCAGAAGGAGGTGGAAATCTCGCTGACGACACAGCTTTAGCTGGAAAATATAGAAAGGCAAACTGATAAGCAATTATTATCAATAACCATAGGTTGTCCCATATTCTCATTGAATTTGGTTTATAATCTAGTCGTTTATGTGCCCAGAAGCTGTGAACTGGATAAACAGCGAATGAAGACAGTGCCATCAGAAGCCAGATCTTGATGACCTGCGGGAAGTCATCGAAACCACTGAATATCGTAGCGAATCCAAATTTCACAGTGCCAGTCTCAATGAGATCGTGGGAAATCGTATGCAAGAATAACAGAAATAGTGTTGCTGCCCAAATATTATAGACCGCTCTTAAATGTTTGGCTTCATCAAAAAGATCCGTCAGCAGTGAATTTCTCGTTTGGAAGTGCTTTTCTGGTAGCTTTCCATGCTCATGCATTATCTTTTTGTCCGAACGCAAGGCATTTGCCGATTTATCTTCAGCAATTGGTGTTTTTGCTATTTTTTCGATTCCCTCTACCGCTTCTGTCACCGCTGTGTTGAGTCGATCGCTGATTTCATCGAGAGCATCTCGCAATTTCTGCATGCGCTCTTCAACATCTTCTGGCATCTTCTTCAACGTCTGTTTGATCGACAAGTCATTTTCATTCTCACTGTCTTTCATTTTAATTAGAAATCTCTTCTTTTCTTAAATCACACACTATTTTGACTCTCGTTTCTATTCGTCAGTTGCACTCGTCACGATCGATTGATTAAGTGCTTCCGATATCTCAATTGAACTCGAACTGATGCTTTTCTTCCATTCTTTTTTAATATGTGGATTAATCGGTGGTGTTGAGATTTAATCACTATCACTTGGAATATTTTCAATCCCATTGGTTTATCAGTCACCGAGATATGAAGTGTTATTTGCACATCGGATTGGGTGCGATTGAACTAAGATTGAACCATGAGATGTCTAACCGGGAACGTACAGAGCAATTGGCACGTTATCAGCATCATTACTCGAAGTGACTGATTACCCTAGGTTCCACTGAGCCAATCTTACTCTCTGCATCTCCCCTAAACGCTTGTTTCGTTGATATGACTCTCTCAATAAGCTCTCGTCGAATGGAAAATTTTTCACCCCCTCTCGGCGTTCTCATTTTGCTCCGGGGCGTCCGCTAATTGTGTAATATCATAATCATTCACGCGAAAAATGCCCCCTTTATTCAGAAAAGTTGAAAATTAATAATAAAAAATTGATAATAAAAAAAAAGGAATAGAAATGGAATAAATTCTCTTCTTTTAAAAACGTAGACACCCCCTCAATTTATTTAACAATTTCTGGAAATTACAATGACAATATCTTGAGCCCATCAAACGTCTGATTTTAGGTTTCGAGATTATATAGACTGAAGTGGAACAACATAGATACTCAGACAATTATCGATCGGGAATCATCCGAAATTCAATTTGTTGACACTTATTGTAGAAATAAAAAATTAAGCTTCATTATTTAAAGCTGCTAACGAAATAGCCGCACCTTTACTTATTATAAACAATTAATTCGTTTTTAGAAACTTTTCATAATTGTACTGTTGCAGAGCCAACTCCGGGGTAGAATTAAATTGAGCATCTCATCCCCGAACCCGGGGCAATTGATCCTGGCGAAATACTCCATGGCATAAACACTGAGTAATATTCCATTACCAGACAGCAATGAGAACCAAAGGAAGACGTTGCCAAAGGTGTGAGACCTTTTCTGCGTGAGCCACACAAGGGGAAATCCACTTGTGCTGAATATTATAAACATCATTGGATAAAAAAGACGGAATCCAATGCTGAGGATGTACTCGTGGAATAATGCAGATACGAAGAACACTGAGAACATTGCGAGGCCTTTCTTCCTGGGAAACACTATTTCGTAAAAATCTTTGTAGATGTATGTGTACAGCCAATCGTGAATTACTACATTCCAATTGCGATAGTAACTATCGTATGACGTTGAGTTCCACCAGTCCTTATAGAACATTCTGTCTCCAAATCTGAGGAGTTCGGCCCAAGCATTCATCCATGCGTGTAGAAGACAGTAGAATCCACTCAGAAACATTCCCAGCCCTGGGAGAAATGAACTGAATATTTTCGGTAACACATTACCAAATGTGACCGGTTCGATTCCAAAGTTTTTGTACGTTGGGAAGATGAATCTTTCGCATAAAAATGCTACGAAGAATATGACAAATCCGACCTCCAGGAAGTGCCATAGGACGAAGCTCCAGTTGATTGTTCTCGTTCTCGGATAATTATCACGATAAATGAGTGTTGGTGCAAACATGAAGTACAGGAATTTCGAAAATCCGGGAAAATCCAATTCCCTACCCTCGGTATGTGGCTTGTACGAAGTAACTCTCGGGACCGTGCTCCTCACGAAGGCATGAATTTTCATGATCATCCTAACTTGCTCCATGATGACAATCAGAGAAGAGGGAGGTGGAAGTTCAGCAAGCAGTACGGCTCTTGCAGGTAGAAACAAAAAGGCCAACTGGTATGCGAAGAAAATCAGGAGCCACGTGTAATCCCAAAGTTTTACACCTAGTGAATTCGAGATGTAATTTACTCGTCGATGCGCCCAGAAGCTGTGAAATGCATAAACCGAGAACGAGGAGATGATCATCAGACTCCAAAACCTGATGACATCGGGAAATTTGGCTAGCCCAGCGGCTATCGTAACAAATCCCACATTCACTCTTCCCTTTTCGATGAGATCGTTTGAAATTGTGTGCAGGAGAAGCGTGAGCAGAATCATCAGCCAAACATTGTAGATTGGCCTCAGGTGTTTCACGTCATTTAATACATCTGTTAAAACTGAGTTACGAATTTGGAAGTCCTTCTCTGGGAGTTTTCCACTGGCTCCCATTTTCTTTTTGTCATTGTACCCCTTTTCCGGCTCATTTCGCGCAATTCCAGTGTGAGCGATATATTCTATTTCTTCAACGACTTCTGTAACCATGTCAGTCAATCGATCGCCGACTTGATCTAGCACATCCTGCTGTAGCCTCTGCATGCGTTCTCTGACATTTTCAATAGACATTCCGCCAACCATTTGTTCGTTCAGGGATCGAGGATTCTCACTACCTAGAATAATTTTCAAATAAGTACAGAAATCGTCGTCGGCCTTAAACCGCAGTTCAAGTATCTGTCAAGCTGATCGTTATAAATATCAGTAAATAATAACAAATCAATAGCAAAGTTCCATATGCCCAGTTTTCTACTTTCGTTAAATACCGATGATTCGGAAAAATTGCACATTCTCCAAAAAAATATCACATGATTTTCGATTTTTTTTTTGGGGGGGAAATTACATCAGATTTGAAAAAATTCTTCAATGTGCGGTACTTAACTTTCCTACTGAAATACACAGTTATATTAACAAAGTGTAATCAAATAGTCGTTTTCCACTCGATAAGCTCGTTTACCACACTATCTCACAAATCCCTGACAAACAGACTGAAAAGATACCTCATGAGGTAAACAGAACATCTCAATGCCAATAAATTTGTAACGCGAAACTATCGGAATGGAATTCCAAGGGAAAGCAACAATCGGGTTCAACAGCTATTAAACTCCTGATCGCATCAATGAATTCAGCATTTCACCGATAAATCTTGCAAGATATATTCTTGAAATTTATATTGTTTCTCTTATTAAAGAAAGATTAATGCTATCGCGGTTGAATGATGATAATATGGATATTGCCACGCAGTAGTCTGCGTTGAGTAAAATAATTGGGAAATGAAAAAAATAAGCTTTGGATAATTTTATCTTTAAAAAATTTAGGGATTTTTTTGTAGCTTTCAATTAGCAATACACAAGAAATTGAGGAAAATAAATTGGTATCTGTCATAAATGTGGAGTTTTCAAGAATAATTAGACTGACTCATCACCATTCATTTTTCTCCGAGGAATGTCCCCGCTTCTTCTCTGGATTCCACTGTCACTATTCATATTCATTTTCTGTTAAGTGCACACGTACTCACTCAGCCATTATCACTTAATCAGGGCCAGTGTTTGTGTTCACTCACTCAGAAGAACCGATTGACGCAGTTACATCCGTTTCACTCGTTCATAAACTCCAAGTATTTTCTCCCTCCTTCGGTATTTTATTCTTATTCGTTAAATATCGAGGGTAATTTATCGCAACTGAAATAAATGGAAATAAATCAACCGAACGCCGAGCCACTTATCAATCCTATCAGTTATCGTCGCCAATAAACTGATTGACCACTCAAAAATCGAAAAGGTGGACTTGAACCTTTTCCAGCGGATTTTTTAGATCTATATTGAGCGCAAGTTTTTTTTATTACAATTTATCACAAGAAATTGATGGATTGATAGGTATAAATAGCGAGGAGGTGCGGAATTCAGGCGCTATCTGCTTCATTGCTGAGATCTGACTGATTCATTCATTTTGCGCGTCCATAGACCTCACACTCGAGATTAGTAACGCTCCAATCTTATTAGGAATTCTATCTCTCCCAGTTTGTAATGTCAAATCGCTCTTGAGGGACTTCTGTGAGGAGTAAGCAATATTTCCCTGAAATTCCTATTAATTTTTCCTTCTGCCGTTTTCAGTTTCACAAAATACCTCCTCGATTCTCATGTTCTCCTGATACTTTTGCGAAAATTTTGAATTTTTCAATCCCCCAAAATACCTCCTTCAGTCTCATGTTCTCCTGATACTTTTTCGTAAATTTTGAATTTTTAAATTTGAGGAAATACCTCCTTCATTCTCATGTTTTCCTGATACTTTTTCGAAAATTTTGGATTTTTAAATTTCAGGAAATACCTCTTTTATTCTCATGTTCTCCTGATACTTTTGCGAAAATTTTGAATTTTTATATTTCAGGAAATACCTCCTTTATTCTCATGTTCTCCTGATACTTTTTCGAAAATTTTGGATTTTTAAATTTCAGGAAATACCTCTTTTATTCTCATGTTCTCCTGATACTTTTGCGAAAATTTTGAATTTTTATATTTCAGGAAATACCTCTTTTATTCTCATGTTCTCCT